GCTCAATAGCCCTTAAATAGCCAGAGCTGTCAATCTTTCAGAAAATTCTAAATTCAAAAGGAAAGCGGCTTCTTTTGCACAGAGACCTATAAAAGCAGTAAACGACACCCGCGTAACGAAAGAACTAAAATTTCAAGACCGCACAAAGTGCAATGAGTTAAAATGCCTTGCAAAATGCAAGGAGCGTAAATAATTCGGTCCGAGGAATGGTCTTCTCGAAAAGTGGTCTCGGCCGCTTCCATACACAGGACTTATACCAAAAATTTGAACTGCATCAAAGGGACTCTCTCACATTGATACCAAAAATCAGCCAAAAACAAAAAGGAAGGAGATACCGGCAAATGTATGTACAAAAATCTTGCACTACAATTGCAGATTCCTAAAATGACTTAATCATCAACCAAAAATGGTTGTCCATTAGAGGTCACTCCAAAAGAGCGGCTGTGGTAGATATCATCAGTTCTGTAAAACTGTCCATACCTACCTGCAGATAATATCCATTTAGTAAAACTGTATTTATCTGCATGCTAAAGCTTATAAACCTGGAATGCAGGAGTATCTTCTTTGATAAAAAGTTTCTCCTTGTTGCCAACCAGAGTTCATTAAAACTTCAGCCTGGCAACTTAAAGTCAAACCTGGAAGCAAAGTATCAACTGTAATCAGAAGTATCTTCACTTCCTAGCCATCATTTAAGATTCAGCCTCCGCTCTGAGTTTCTGCCGCTGCAGTCGATGGAGCTGCTTGATCAGAAGTTGGCGGCCTTCCTTTCCTTTTATTCTCCTTCTGTCTCTCCTCCCTCCGCAGGTTAGCCTCTCGAAGAGTCTCGCCCAAGCGATAAAGCTTCCTGTCCCCAGATGAAAGGGAAGCTGGTCTGAGTGAAATAAACATTGGGCCATGACTGTCATCGTCAGAGGGTCTTGAGCACATAACCTCCGTGTCAATCATAGCAAAGTTTTCTGAAAAATTACAGACGAACTCCTTCGTTCTCACTGTGGAATTTGTATATTCCTCTTCACTCATTGAATGACCCCATTCAACAATGGTAGACAAACACGTATCGCCAAGCTTTGATCCCTGGTATATTTCTTTTTCTTCTGTAGAGTATTCTTCCCAGAGTTTCTCAAAGTAAACTTCACACTGCTTGAGGACATGTGAAGATGAACTGTAAAATGTTCTGGGAATAGGTGCTTTGATACCAGGATCTGCTGCTACATGGGCTTCTGAAAACCTGCGGATCCAATGGTCCAATGCTGCATGGTGCTGTAATAATAGTTAGCCATTGGCTGCCTTTTGTATCCAGACATTCTGTAGGCCAAACTATTTGCATCACCAGAAATGATGTCCACCTCATATACAAAACACTCATAAAGCATCAATGCTGTCTGTTCTCCTGTCAATAGGTGGGCATCCACAGCACGGTGTGTGTCAACATGATAATTACAGACTCTGATGGTATGCATGCTCGCTCGAGTAAGTGGAACACGCTGGTCCTTAGGACCATAGTCCTCAAATTCAAAGTCTGCATCCTTGAAATCTTGACGAGGCCTGGTTTCTCCAAAACAAATCTCATAGATAGCCCAAGTTACATCACGCTGTTGACAGTGACCAAGGTCTTGGTCATGTCCAGCAATGACCTTGACATAGCCATCTGGTGCAATTCTAGCCATCACTGCAAGATTCTCCCAATCATTGAAACAAACTGTCCAATTCTTTTGCTCAAGAAAATCCTTGGCAGGAACAAGGAGATGAGCTTCCTGGAGAATCACGACATGTGCACGTAAAAAGAAGAGCATGTTGAAGAAGAGGTTGTTTTCAAATTGCTCATATTGAAGTGACATGTCACTCTGTTTGCGTGGCTTCATTGCACGATCAAGTCCTTGGAGAAACTTTGGTGTGGTGTATTTCTGACCACGAACCATGTTGCCATAGTTCCAGGATAAAAATGTCAAGGACTCTGAGCTGGCCAATAAGTTAGTTCCATATTGTTCTTCTATTCTTCCTTTGAGGAACCTTTTGCACAGCTCTTCATAGAAGGTGACATAGTCCCAACTGGGTCCCTTGGGACCATATGCTTCCAGTTCTTCTCTAAAATGTTTCTTTGTAACCTCCAAATCTGCTCGAGCTTGTTCTGCCCTTTCAAGGGCCCTGGGATCGACCTGATACTTGTCATCCAAATAAATGATGCGGTCATCATTGATGAAAAATCTCTTCAAACCATGCTCTGAGCTGTCCTCATAACAATCAGGTGGAGGTACTAGACAGATCTTTCGAATGGATCGAACAAAGTCGTCCTCGTTGATCATTGACTGATAGTGAGGATGGGAAATCTCACCTTTTCTGAAACAAACATGGTTCAACAATCTCGCGTGAGTTTCCCTGAAGCATTGTTGATAAAAGCCAATACCTGGATCTCCTGTAAGCTCTCCAAGCAACCTCAAAGGTGAAGTATGCAACTCATAGGTATTGTCAACATCCACTGTATCTGTATCAACAACTACTTCAGATGGAAAAGATTCTTGGATTTCAGCCTCCAATTTCTTCTCTCCATCATCCTCTCTGACCTCTCTTATCTTCTCCACCGCCTTTTTCTTCTCCTCAAAGGTTGCATCATCCTGAACTTCTTCATGAAAATGAGGATCAGGAATTTTATTTAGGCGGCTTTTCTTAGATTTCCGCAGACTTGAAGTATCATCAAGGTTAGCATCATTCTCACCTGATGGTAAGTGCGATGCAGCTGAGTCCTCACCTATCTCTCTTGACAGAAAGTGTGATGCTGACTCATCCTTGGCTTCCTCCTGGTCCACTTCCATTTTGTGTCCTCTGAAGGAAAAACACCTGCATTCTCATCAAAAGCTTCTTCATCTTTTACGAGTTCAAGTGCAGGATCTTCTTCATGGACTTCCTCTTCCATATCTTCACCTTCCATAATCTTCATACTACCAGTATAGATCTCACCAGTGATAGTGGAGACTCTTGTGTAAGGAGGAACTTCTTCACCTGCCTCAAAAGCTTGTTCTGCGACATCCTTGGTGAGCAAGTCCTCTACAAGATTTTCTCCCATGGTTCTTGGAAGAGATTCTGAGGTCTCAAAATAATCTGTCCTCTCTGAACTGAAAAACTCCGTTGCCTTCTCATTGTCCTTTTTATCCTTAAAAAGATGAGTAATCTTCACTGCTTCTCCCTGTAACACCTGATCACCTTCTCTATACTTGTTGACAATGGAGCACCATACTGGCACATTGTCATCATCAAAGTCAAGCTCCATATTATCTGCCATCAAGTTTGAGATGTTTTGAGCTGCCTGTTCTTCTTCTTCCTCACGTTCTCTGGCAAGCTCCTCATCCTTCTGGATCTTGAAGATACCCTTCAGGATGTTTTGTAGTACCTTTAAGTTCAGCTTCGATGATGGCTCAAACGTCCCTGAACTTACAGGCTCAACTACAACACGAGAGCAAGAAATCGCCTCCAAAAACTTGGAATTGTATTGGCGTTCAAACTCTTCCTTCTTGATCATCTCATATAAGGGATCAGAAACTGCAACACGCGCCTGAACATATTCACGAAGTTGATAGCATGCATGTTGCACAAATCTTCTGTTGGAGTTGTGAAGAAAACTCTCTAAGTGGTTCCTGTCACGGTCAATCAAATACCACACAACTCTTGCAGAAAAACGGAATTTCTTGAAGTTCATAGCAAAATGTGTATGATACTTATCTGGATCCTCTTCTGCATATAAGGCGGCCTCTGAAGTCTTGTAAACAGGGAGATTTGTAAGTGGATCCAAAATCATAAACTCTTCCCACAAGATCGAATGCTGAAGAACCCACCGGGGAAGCACCTTGATGAAAAAGTCACAAACAAGTTCAGACAAAAGGTGCATGACACGGCCAATCTCTTCCTCCTGCTTGAAACGATAGTGCAATTTGGCAAAAAAGGGACTGTTAAATGCTTCCTCCACTGAGTTGCCAAAATTATCCCACTGAGGTTCTGGAATGCCAAAGTTCCAACCAGCAATTTGGGATCTCTGCACATATCCAAGAAACTTGTAAGTTCTGCAGAATAAAGGCCATGGTCTGTCAGAATTTCAGCCCAGCGGCGTCCATTCTCCCAAGCACGGATGAAGAAAAACTGTTGGTATCCAGTTTGTGCCAACTCCATCCACTGAAAAACTCCAGGTTCAAAACTGGGTGCATACGTCTTGGGGTCTTCCTCTGTTCCATAAATACTTGGACGTAGCAACTTGTACCTTCTACAAAAAATATTCTCTCTGGTGTCTTGTCAACCTGTCCCAATCCCGCACCAGAATCACGTCTTCTCCAGTGCTCTGAAGTACACGTGTTCCTCGGCGATCATGGAGTGATACCATGCCAATGTCATATACCATCCATGGGTTGAGAATCAGGTTGTTGACATTCTGAATGAACCATGTCATCTCACGCTCAGCAACATGAGCAGAGTCATCTTCTTCATCTTGTTGAGGTTCTCCAGAAGTCTTTGCTGTTGAGCCTTTTGAAGTGATGTCCTTCCAAAGGTGGTCAAAGCGGATCACTTCCTCATCAGCCTTCACCAGATTCGGCTGATCCTTGCTCAAAACTAATGGGTGTACCATAAACAAAGACCTCGAGGTAGCACCGTCTCCATTGACAATCAACATTGGAGCACTATAGCCTAAGATGCTCCAAGGATCACGATCATCAATCTCTTTAGGTGGAATTAAAGACCATCCAGGTTGATAATGGCCTTCAGGCATCACCTGACGTGACCTCAATCGTGAACGATTGTACTCACGTGCAGGGTGATTGTCAGAGCTGAAAAATCTCGCAATGGCATTGAAGGTCAGCTCGTCTAACCAAAGAGACATATGCCTTTTGGTTTGTTCCACCCCAGGCTCATTGGCATTAATCCTCCTGATAAC